CTAAGCGGAAAAAAAAAAATCCAAAAGAAGTATTTTGGTTTCAGCTTGCAATTGAAGTTCTTTGGGTTTCTCTTCTACTGGGGATTCGAGCTTCATTTGGCAAGCAAAGACATCACGGTAGGTGATGTTCATTTAAGCAAAAGAAGACAACCCAGGCTCGAAGGGGAAAAAAAATCCAAGTCAGGATTAGAAACATTTTTAACACTAAACAAGATCTTCATATTTTCGGTGGCAATCAAATAGATATAAGAGGGATTTTGAGGAGAGCTAAGGAAAATTTTTCAGAATTTTATGTTTGTTTTTTTTCCTAATGTTTTAGTTTAATTTTGAAATAAAAGTATTTTTCTATTTATTTTATTGTTTTCAATATTTAATCATTTTTATTTGTTTTATTAGAGCTTAATTGATGTTTAATGATAGTCACGTCAGTAAATACGTTTAGTAAGAGATTCATACAATGATTTGAATCATAGTTCATAGTTCGTTACAGTATTTTCTCTTAAAAAAATACACGTAAATAAAAAATTATTCTAATCTCATGATTCTAATCTATGAACAAAACATTAGAATCTGAAAAGGGGCAGTTGTTTTTTATAGATTGGATCGTGTTTAAAAATCATTTTAAAAATTAAGAACATTTTAAAATAAAGTACATAATTTAGAGCATTTATGAAAATAATTATAATTTTAACCACATAATAATATTGTTAATTGGTTATTACTCTCGGAAGCGTATTTCATTAGGTGCAGGTCAGATTTTAACAACGATTTCAAGAAAAAAAATTATAAAAAACAACGATTTACCGTGTCAAATCGTCTAACTACACCAATTCAGAATTCGCAACAATAACCCCGTGATGTTCTATGATCACGATCTTAATGCTTACAGTGTGCGATTATTACTAGAACAATATACGGTATTTTTCTAAGGTCCAACAACCCTAAATATTGAACGTGTATGGAAGGAGAGACAAAGAAATAGAGATGGAAAAATATCGTTTGTAAGAAAAACTACTATTCATTATACTTTTTAGTATTAATGTACCAGAAATCCCGTTAACTTGAAAAACTGACAACTAATGCCAACCACATCAAACTCATTATGAGCGCCCCAACTGGGTCACACTTAGGCTCAAAGTCCAACAATTACTATCACAAAGAATGGTTTAGGTTATCAATTATAAGTTGAAACTTAGGGCCTGTTTAGTTCGCTAATTCGAGTTAAGATGTGATGTTATGTGAGAGCTTTTTACTGTAGCAAAAAAGTTAGATGTGACTGTTTCTGAGAGCTTTTTACTGTAGTAAAACTCGAATTCTAAACTCGAATCGGCGAAGTGAACGGGGTCTTATAGACTCATCCATTTCACTAATTTAAGTTTTGTTATAATAAAAAAAATTTAAAAATAATTACATTAAAATTTTTTATTATAATAATAAGTTCTCATATAAAGTCGCATATCAACTTAAATTAAAGACTCAAAATAACGAATTAAACGGACCTTAAAAATTTAAAATAGTCATGTGATGGTATTTACATTTTTGTTGTGCACACACTAATGTACTTATTTATATAAAAAAAATGGATGAAAAATCCTATTATATTGGATCATTTGTTAAAATTAAAGAGTTTGAGAGATTTGTACAGTCATAACGTAACTATAAAGTGAAAACTTCGATTAACTCTACTCCTCCCAAATTCCAAAAAGAAAAAACAAATAGTGAGAGATTTACTCCTTGCCTACTTTTTTGTTTCAAGAAAAAAACTCATTAGGAAACAATGGAATGTAGATAATTAATATCATAAAAGCGATCAGTAAAATACATATGGGTTGTTCGACCTGAAAATAAAAAAAAAACAATTATATATAGCATGATAAAATGTCAATGTTCGTTTTGAATCAAAACTTGTTAAAATATCACTTCAAAAAGAAAAAAGAAATTGTTAAAATATGTAATTGTATATATCGTTTGGCACTCTTTTAAAATCAATTATTGCGGACTTACTTATAGAGTTATAATATGGTTTTTTTTTTTTTTTTTTTTTTACTGAGTTGTAAAAACAGTGCTCAAAGTGGTACTTATCACTTGATGTTTGAAATAGGTAAAGTTAATACGTTTAGTACTGATCAATTAAATGATAGTTGCAAGTCTTAGGCTGTTAGCACTTAGAACAAATATTTAAAAGAAAATGTATCAAAACAACCTCCTAAAAATAGTGTTGCCGAATTGGACTATACATAATTTCCAGATTCCCTGTCCTTTAAGACATAAAAAGAAATAAAATGGTAAACTTTAAATGTGGCGTCTGAAATAAGTCCTACCCCTTCCTATATATAAATTACTCTTAAACTCTAGTGAAAGTGCCTTTCAATGGGACCTTGGCTACTAACAAACATATTTATTTGTGGCTTCTTTGGAAGTAGTACATTAAATTATATAACGGACATTAAAGAACCTTGTTTTTCTTATTTATCACATATGTTGTATTTTTAAATTCGTTAATTTAAGTTTTTAATTCGAATTAAAATGTGATTTTATATAAATTTTTTTTATTATAATAAAAAAATTAAATGTGATTATTTTTTAAAATTTTTTACTGTAATAAAATTTAAATCAGTGAAACACATTTATTTTCTAAATTAGAGCATTGGTTTTCACTCTTTGAATTGCGTGGACGCAACTACCATAAATAATTCTAATCTCGAGAAATCTGTGGTTTCTAGAACTTCCGAAAGAATATCTCCACTTTTTCTTTTTCTTTAACAAAAAAAAAGCTCAAACGAGAACAGATAACAACATGGTTACATGAGCAGTAATCGGAATTCGGAACTTGGAAGTATCCCAGAGTTAGGACAAGATGTACGTCCCTAAGCTATGACGAGATTACTCAATTCTATACGAGCTTTACATTTGGCTCATCAGATTTTCTTATTATTTATTTACTTAGAAAGCAAAAAAAAAAAAAAAAAAAATACAATCATGATAAACGACGTTACTTGTTTTCAAATATGTGGGCTGAATTTAGTGGTCCATTGTTTTGATTCACTTGAATGTTTTGCATACTTCCAAATAGCAAAATGCTAAACGCTGTAAGAGGTAACGGCTTGATAATATTTTCATTACTTTTGGACTGTTCTAGCACCTTCCGCCTCAAAACGTGGTTGTTTTTCATTCCTTTCTCCAAAAAGGAGGACACAATTCCTTCACAACAACCCAATATGACCCATGAAAAAGAAAAATAGAAAACATCATGTAAAATAATAATACGAGCACGTTAGCTCTTCAGTCCTTTCAAATGCTTAATTTGATAATAATTAGATCCGTAAGATTGGTTATTATTTACTTATGGTTACCTTTTATGTTACTTTATCAACTCTTTATATAATTTAAGATTGAGGATGAAATATCATACTCACAAATTAGCATGTGTTATAGTTTGAGTCTAATCTATCCACCTAACCAGACCGGTTTTATGTGAGTAGCGGGCTCATAATTTAAGCCGGATATGATATGCCATATCAATATTAATTTTATTTAACGATAATAACTCATGTCTTGTGTTTTATGGAGCTTAATTCTAGTATTGACAAAGAATTAGCATGTGAATCGACCTCCGAGTGCTACGGTGGACATGGGGTAATTGTCAGTGGTTGCTGGTGTAGAGTCGTCGAGCGATTGCATTTTACTAAAATTATATTAAGTTATACATACATGTATTTTTTTAAAAACTTTTTTGGTAATTTTTTTTAATAAAAATTTGGTGGTAGAGGGATTTGAATTACAATAAAGTCACGTGTGAAATTATCGACATATTATGCATGCAATCACTACACATGTATTTCAGTTGTGTGTGCTTGCTTATAGTTTTTTTCCCTAATATTATTGATCTTATTAAGAGAATATCAGGATATTTTACCGTATGATGTACAACTGCATTCAATTCACACTAGAGTGAATTTGTAATAATTGGTTAAAATGAATTATCAAAGTTATTTATGTTTTGACGCAAATATCATCATTTTATTAAATACAACTGTCCTTACTCAAGTACGTTAAATTACTACATAAATGAATATTTGCAAAACGATGACAGATAATTTATTTTGATAGAAAATGAACTGACAATTTATTTCTTCACTCATAATCAGTACTGCCCAATTACGAGGCAGTGACAAAGAAAAGAAAAAGCAAAATAAAAGTTAAAAAAATAAAAATGGTAGTAAGTGCGATGCATAGCATAGACCAGAGAGAGAGAGAGAGAGAGAGAGAGAGAGAGAGGGTAAGTAAGTGGGAGGAAGATGGTCTTGGTAAAGTCAGGCGGAGTCGGTGAAAGCGAAAGAGAGAGATATATTAAAAGGATAAAGAATAAGAAAAGGAAAAAAGAGATTTATATTTTTAAAAAGAACATCTATATTGGACAACGGTACTGTTAAATATCATTATTAATAAAATATGAGTATCGTGAGATAGGGTTATTTTTTTAGAGTGTAATTTAAATGTAGTTTTTGAATTATAACTTGAGTTAAAGTTAAAATTTGAATAAAATTGAGTAAAATTGAATAAAGTTAAAACTTAAAAGAACGTGAATTTAAATAAAATTAAAATTTAAATTATCTTTTTTTGAATTTTTTTGAACAAAAGAACATGCTCTTATATGTTAGATTTTTTTTTGTTAAATTTACGTAATAAAAAGATGTAAAAATAAAAAAATATAAATTTAATAATTAAAAAAACTTAATATATTAAGGTATTATTTACTTTTGAGTTAAGATATAATATTTTTTAAAATTTTTTAATTATAATAAAAAAATTAAATATAATTTTTAAGAATTTTAACTGTAAAAATGAAACGAAACTTAAACCATATGCTACGAGAGAATCTCGAGATTCATAATAAATTTACTTTTTATTAATAAGTGTTGATTAACGCCGGAAGTATTTTAAGCATCTTTAAAAATTGGCGTGCTCGATCATCAACTTGTATTAAAATCCACATTAATCTCACCACCCCTTTTCGACGGTCACCACATCTTCTTCCCTCCTTATATACCCCCTCTTCTCCCCCACTCTCTCTCTCACTCCCAAACCCAAAAAACCTCTCTCTCTCTCTCTCTCTCTCTCTATAGTTTGAGCTCTGTGAGGCTTTTTAATTCTTCTTCACTATGACGAAGGATTTGGAAGTGACGGAGCGGGGTTCCTTCACGGCCAAGGACTACCACGACCCGCCGCCGGCGCCGCTGCTCGACTCGGCGGAGCTCGGGAAGTGGTCGTTCTACAGGGCCTTGATCGCCGAGTTTGTGGCGACTCTGCTGTTCCTGTACGTCACCGTTTTGACGGTGATCGGCTACAAGAGCCAGTCCGATGTCAATCACAACGGCGACGTCTGCGGTGGCGTTGGGATTCTCGGCATCGCCTGGGCCTTCGGTGGCATGATCTTCATCCTCGTTTACTGCACTGCTGGCATTTCCGGTATAAAAAACGGCAACAAAAAAGAAAAACGCTTTTTTTTTTTCACTAGAATTTGTTCCTTGTTTAGAAATATTGAAATACTAAATGCTAGTTTACTACTTTTTAAGTTATTATATTTATATAATTCCAGGAAAACGACTGTAGCAATTTTTTTTTCTTTGTGAATCATCACATAAATTTTATAATTTTCCATGAAAAAAATACGAAAACAATATTACTAATTTAGCGTGAGCGGTGAATATTAAACAGAAAATTTTTTATGTAGAACTATTGCACCAGTCAGTCCTTTACGCAGCATATATGCGCCATTTTATAATAACATTCCTTGTTTTTATAACCTTCTTAGTACTTTTTGCATTTCAGCAAAAAAAAAAAAAAAAAAAAAAAAACCTTTCTTTTTTCGAAGTACTTGAAATGAATCCGAGTTTACAGTTACTGTTAGATTATTCCAGCAAAACATTACTAGTAACATGAGTACCGACTACCGAATAATCACAAAATAGAAAGTATTATTTCAAACCATACTAACAAAAAAAAAAAAACACAAGCGTGATATTAATTAATTCTTTGTTTTTGGGTTGTAATATTGCAGGGGGTCACATTAACCCGGCGGTGACAGTCGGGCTATTGTTGGCCCGGAAAGTGTCTCTGATCCGGGCCGTGTTGTACATAGTGGCCCAGAGTTTGGGAGCCATCGCCGGAGTTGGGCTGGTGAAGGCCTTCCAGAGCTCCTACTACGACAGATACGGTGGCGGCGCCAACGAGCTCTCCGCCGGATACAGCACCGGCGTCGGCTTGTCCGCCGAAATCATCGGCACCTTTGTCCTTGTCTACACCGTCTTCTCCGCTACTGACCCCAAGAGGGTTGCACGCGACTCCCATGTTCCGGTGAGCATCTTAAGGTCCCGTTTACTTTGCTGATTCGAGTTTAGAATTCGAGTTTTTCTACCGTAAAAAGCTCTCACAAACAATCACATCTAATTTTTTTACTACAGTAAAAAACTCTCATATAAAGTCATATTTCAACTCGAATTTTAAATTCGAATCAGCGAAGTGAACGGTCCAGATTCTCATTTCTCCCTCTCTCTAGTCTCTGCTTACCGGTTTTCATTTTGGTCACGTGTTTTTACTTGGAAAAGATAAGGAGATTAAGAAAAAGAAAATGAAAAAAGAATATCAAATATATTTCATCAAAAGAATATCATATATATATATATATATTATCTTATTTTGTTCTGATCTAACTAAGGTATAATGGTTGCAAAAACGTGTTCCGTTTATTTATTTATTTTGTTTTAAATTTTGAGAGCCCCCACAATTTGGGGAAAGCTTTGATGTTTAGAAGTATTAATTAGCTCAGTTTAATGCGTCCTACAATTCTGATTGAAGTAGTAATTAGCTCCGTTAAATGCATCCTATAATTTTTATTTTGGGTCGGCCTTTTTATATGGCTTTAATAAAGAACTTTCAATATATATATATATATATATATATTTTGCTTGGTGGAAAAGAACTTCAATACTTACAACAAGTGTTTTGCACATTGGAACAAGTGTATTTTGCATGGTATTTTGGTGGATACTCTTTTTAGGATTTTTATTTATAGGAACGAAATAAAGGGTAGATGGACAAGCTTTTGACTTTTTTTTTTTTTTTTGGTTTTTTTTTTTCCCTTCCCTTGCCTCCTTTTTCCTTATTTACTGCTTGTGGTGGAAAGAAAGATAAGAGAATTGTTTATTCCTCCACTTCTACTTTGCGTATGTTCTACTTTATTTGTGTAGTAGCCTAAAAATAGGTATCGGAAAAAAAAGCACCATACACATATCCTTAACAAAAAATTCTACCAAAAATTCCATATAAAAACAAATACACACACACATATCTTTTGTCAGCTTGGTTAGCTCATTATGGGGTGTTGGAAAGTACTTCCCAGCTAGGAAAAGGAAAGTGGATACTAGTAATAAGTGACTAGTAACATGCGCGAGGGCCTAGTGGGTTATGCGGTTTATATTTTGAGGGACAAAAAAAAAAGAAAGAAAGTTAACTTGGATTTTGTGGCTAGAATTTGAGGGCAGTACGTACTCAATTTATAAAAAAAAAAAAAAAAAGTCACCGTACTATTTTGTTTACTTTACAGAAAGCCCATTTTACAATTTTATTTTTATTTTTATATTATTACATTACATGGCATATTTTTTAAAAATTAAATTTTATTATAGTAAAAAATTTTAAAAAATATTCATATTTAATTTTTTTCGAATCATGAATAATGGGCCTCTTCATTCCCATTGCTTAAAGACAAAACAATCCACTGTTTTGCCATTGAGGACCCTCTTGTTTTTTTTACCCATGACCAGCTCTCTCTGTCCCTAACCTTACACATCTGGAATTAAATATATTTGTTTTTTCTTCTATTTTTTTTATAATACAAAAAAATAAAAAAAAACTCGTACACAAGTTTTGTCAAGAAAATTTAGGAGCTTCACGTGCTATTACTGTGCCAACAGTGTTCTTTCATTCTCACAGAGTATATATATGTTTACACTTTGTTTTTTTCCCGTAATTAGTCCCATATCAGACCGTTTTCAAAATTTTTGTATTATTTATATTCACGAGTGTGGGATTTTTGGGCATTGGGAATTGTCTTCTTTTACTCTACTCTAGTGGTCCAATGTTTTTCGTACATATTCCATGCAATTCTGTTTATAACGCTGCTGGTATTTTGTCTTAGTTTATTTATCTTCATATCATTTGATCAAGTAATGGCCTCCTTATCACTGTATCAGTTAAATCTAATTAAAAACGTATCAGATTAAAAGAATATGTAGAATAAATATTTTTTAATACATATCTGACGGTTGAAAAGTAGAGAATTATAGTTAGTTTATTTTTTCTGATTATACCAGTGAAATTCCCTTATTATTATTATTATTATGTTTGGTTTCTCATGAGTTGTTTTTATGTCTCAATTTTCTGATTATCGCTAGGTTTTGGCCCCACTCCCAATTGGGTTTGCTGTGTTCATGGTTCACTTGGCCACAATCCCAATCACTGGCACTGGCATCAACCCTGCTAGAAGTCTTGGAGCTGCTGTTATCTACAACAAGGAAAAGGCTTGGGATGACCATGTTAGTACCACTAATCATATTCTTAACTCTATTATAAAGTACATAAAAAGTTTCATCTAACTTATAATTAGTTACAAATTCACATGCCAATTCTATTTACTCTCATAATTTTTAATTGGTTGAAAAATTAGCGGTGATCGATGATCAGAGCAATTTTTTTTCGTCATTAGAATTTCTTATTTATTTTTGGTTTTACTTTTTTTGCAGTGGATTTTCTGGGTGGGACCCTTCATTGGTGCAGCCATTGCAGCTTTCTACCATCAGTTTATCTTGAGAGCAGGAGCTGCTAAGGCTCTTGGGTCGTTCAGGAGTGGCACCCATGTTTAATTTCTGGGGTTGAAGAGGAATTAAGGGAATTCAGAAGGGCTATGATGATAATATGAGAAAGAATAAGCATATTTTCTATTAGCATTTTATGTGCTTAATTTGTGGCTTGTGCTAGTTATTAAGGACCAATATGGAATTGTAGATACTTTCTGTTGGGGAGAAGAGGACGGAGCTTTTTTCTATTTGTACCCTGACTGGACTATTTTCTCTAAGTAATACATTTGGATGTACTTTATTTACTTTTATTGTCTATTGTTTTCTTGTGTCTTATTTGTACTCATTACTCTTATGCTTCTAAAAGTTTTTTCTTTCTTTTTTATTAATATATAGTTCCTTCTTATCGTTTCCAAACTTTTACGACACCTTGCAAAACCAAACAAATCAAAGGAAGAAAAAAGTGATAAAAATATCTCAAAAATAAATATAAATAAGTAAATCTCAATGGGCACACCGAAAAAGGAAAATATAACTTGAAAACTATATGACGAAGATTGGATCGTTTATGCAATTTTAGTGGAGAGAAAAAAAGTTTCCCTTTCCTATTTTCAACGATATCAGGTATCTGATTAGTGAAGACAGTCGTGGTTCATGTTTCTACATTGTTTTGTCAAATTAATGTGACGACCAACACACTAGCTAATTTAGCTTTGTCCACTTTTGAAAATTGTTTTTAGTTAGAAGAATTTCCTGGTGGTATTCATTTTATGTAAGTATCGATGGATGACTTGAGAATTAATGCAACTCATTCCTTTATAAAAGAAAAGAGTTGTCTTTTAATTACTTAAGTATTATGTATAGTAAGTACTATCCACCTTATTCAAAGTTACAATGTAAGTTAGTTAAAGTTATTATTCATATCAGAATTTTACTGTACAAAAAATAACTGTAAATAATAACTATGAATAATGTCAAAAATTTTCCTATAAATAAAACTTTAAGACTCTTCATTTTATATACATTCACAAGATTAATGAATCTCTCTCTAATTTTTTTTTTCTTAATTTTCATAACATTAAGTTTTTTTTTTTTTTGATAAATAACAAATAAATAAATAAAACAAGAACGACAAGCCAAACAAACTCATACGTCAAAGCTTAAGTAGTACAATGATCTTACAAATAACATTAATACCATAATAAAGTAAGCATAAATTAGTAATCTATGCAACGACTCGTATGCAAACGAAAGATAATAAAAATTAGAGGTGGGATTTTCTTTTTTCATATTCGTTCTACTAAGAGATAGTCATAATTGTTTTCCTGAAAAAATAAAAATAAAGTCACCCGGATAGAATATTTGAGTTGGCCAATAGGGATCTTACCAAAATGAAAAAGAAAAAAGAAAAAAAGACTGTACCAACATATGAGATATTCTGAAGTACTCTGTCATGAGATCAAAATCTATACCTTGTTTTTTTCCCCCCACTTCTTTACAACCAATATTATTGTTTTTGGATAACCAAAAGTGAGCTGTGAGTATCTGAATTTGAAAGTAAACTTGGTTCATGGATTAGAATCATGTGATTAGAACTGTTGATACCAGAATTTCTCACACACCGATGGCCCACCGGCGAAGTATTGTCCCCACTTGGGCCCGCCGTGACGGGTGGGGTTTTATCCCTTCGTAAAAGACGCCTCGCTGGTAGGAGGGGTTGAACCTGGGGCACTTATACCTTTCCAGGCCCCCGTCTCCAACTGATGTGGACTCTTGGCATACAATAGTGCCTCCCGAGTCGGGGGACTGGGAAGGCAGGCCGTGGCCAAACGTTCCCACAGACGGCGCCAACTGTTGATACAAGAATTTTTCACACACTGATGGCCCACCGGCAAAGTATTGTCCCCACTTGGGTCCGCCGTGACGGGTGGGGTTTTGTCCATTCGTAAAAGGCGCCTCGCTGGTAGGAGGGGTTGAACCTGGGGTACTTATACCTTTCCAGGCCCCCGTCTCCAACCGATGTGGGACTCTTGGCATACAACAAGAACCATTTTCAATTTATATGTATTTTTTGTAAGAGAAAACACTGTAATGAATCATAAATCATGATTTAAATTATAGTTTGAATCCTCCAACTAAACATCTCTGGTTTTGAGATACGTATGTCGAGACTAGAGATACCAAGAATTGACGCACGATCCCATACACACACAGATGGATAGATATATATATATAATTGAGGGGCCTAATCGGCTAAATATTTTTGGTTCTTCTGTGTCAGCTTCGCAATGTACAAAACCGCATCTTCTCAATTTGGTTCTTTTTCTGTGTCAGCCTTTGTCCCTTCGGTGCAATATATTAATCCTCTAGTACTCACCCCTTTCTCTCCCACTTGGCTTTGTATTCCAAAATTTTGCTAATTTCTATAGTTCCTCTCTCATGCCTCGGCTGTGAGCTACATGCAAGGTGGCCACTACTTATTTTACCTTCTTGCCGAGGATTTTTGGCCCTTTTGGCTCATAAGCTTTGACTGAATTAAAAAGTTACGACTGTATTTGTATTGAGGCAAATTACTATACACAAATGCCTCAAATTGATGAATGATGTTAAAATTTGAAAGGACATGCGTTCATGCACGTAAATGATGTTTTCCATCGAATATTTATCCATATAAAATTAGGGGGTAATTTATCAATCATAAAAAAGTTCATGAGACCGATCATATGCCAAATACCCTTTACTTTCAAAAGCTTGATAGAATAACATGATCTTTGGTTAATTGGTTTATGTGAAGAATATTGTCGATTACCTTATAGCTCTAGCACATGATCATGTTATACCATAGAAAATTTATGATTAGAAGCATAATCTAACGATAAATTTACATTATTACCTTCAACTCCCTACTCTAGTTTTTTTTTTTTTTTTTTTTTTAAAAAGCATAGACCTTTAATATTCATGACTTCTCCACTACGTATATTCTTGACTCTTTCCATCTCAGAAAACATACGTATTAGCATTTTTTTCCCCCTACTGTTTTTGGTACTTGTTTCTTGCTTTTGAAAATGTACTGTGTACATATTCTTTAACAATGATATGTGTGTCATTAACGCAGATCAAGAATGAGGTAGGGGAAAGTAGGTGATATTACATTGAGGTCACTAGTCAATTTTGCTGTTAATATATAGTATTTTTTTTCCTAAAACAAAAAAAGATTCTGTGCTTATCAAATCAAGCCTACTTTCTTTTGACTATTTAATTAGGCGAGTGATTTAGGTTAATGTATAGGTTGCCGCATATGGAAAGGAGGTTCTTTCTCTGTGTAAAATCTATTACCCAAGGGGTGAGTGGTTATTGGGTCATTTTCATAGCGTGAACTACTAAACATAGATCTGTAGATCATCTTGAATGTAAATGATAATGACAAAATTATGTTTGAAGTTAAAATAATGTGAAAATAACATAGTTGATACGCCTATTTTATATTGCAATACATGTTATTTCAAATATTATATTTTGTTGGAGCAAAATTTTATCCAATACTTATCCAACATTCCTAGACTAATAATTCAAATTGAATAAATAAATTATTTAAAGAAATTGAAAAAACATCCGAAGAATACAAGGAACCTCAAAAACATAACGAGAATAAAGTAAAGATAATCACAAGGCAATTGTATTCAGAATTGAGTGCGTGTCTTTTCTTCTCAAACTGATGAAATTTATTCTACATTAGGAATTAGGGGGTTTAATTCATCCTATTAACTCGAGAGTTTATTCTCTCTTCAATACAATAAAGCTCTTCACATTTTTTGGGTGTTACAAACAATTAATAAACGAATTAAATTTGAGTTATTAAATGCCTTTAATCGTCAACCGTTACTTGACATTAACGCTTGATAACTCTTGATCTTCCAACTTCTTCCCTACTCGAGCGTATGCTTGGGTAGTTATCCTAGCGTACGTTCGGGTAGTTTTCCTAACGTACGCTTGAGTGATTTCCTTAGCGTATGCTCGGATGTTATCCGAACGTACGCTCAGGTCGCCTGAAAACTTACTACATTTTATTAGCTTCGAAAAATCCATCCAACGTATTTATTTTTTTCTAATTGTTAACATTTGAAATTTGTAATTAATCTTAAGATAATTTGAAATGACAATGTTTTAGTGATCGAATACTTGATGCCAAAATTTTAGTTTTTGAAGACGCTTTCACAAAAAAATAAAAATAAGTCAAAAGGAGGAAAATAAACAATTATATTACTAATAAACGATCTCGCATCAACTCTCACGCGAGCAGTTAGAACTTAGAGAATTTTTTTTTTTAGAAAGCTGTTTGAACTTATCTTTAGAATGCATGAGTTTAAAATTTTATCTCCTGCTCTTAATTAGTATCCTTTTAACTAATATAATTATTTGATTAAAAAAATACTAAATAAGAGTAAAGGGTAAAAATCCGCACTCTTAGCTCTAAGCAGTATTTGTCTCTTTTTTTAAAAAAAAAAATTTTTAGTAAGAACTTTCAAGTCTCATTTTGAGAAGCACAAAGACACAACTCGGTGAGAATAAAGCGCGGAGTGAGTTGGCTGAGAAATCTTGGCAAATGCCTCTAAAAAGTACATGGCTCTTGATTTTTTACTTCTTATTTTCTGGAGTAGGCCACACACAGTCCCATAAAAGCCCAAAGACTGACAACGGCCCATGGATTAAACAATTCATGGATCAAGAATTTGGGTAAAATACGGTCCCTTGTAAAAGGGCATGGTAAAACTTTTGGTTGCCCCAAATTATAAGAGGAGTCAGAGCTCTATCCCGACACATGATTGGTAGAAGGTCTAAGAAAATATGTTTTACCGAAATTACGTACACCAATCGTCAGAGCCTAAACCAGACGCCAAAGTAATCTACTAGATTATAATCGATAATCTACAAAATTAAATTGTAGGAATCACTAGTAAACTGTCAGCTTATGTTGCCTTTTTGACAAAAGTCATCAGTCGTATCCGCGGTGGCAGGTGTGACTGACTGTCAGAGTAATCTGATATATTACTATCAAGAGTATACTAGTTTTATTTTTTGAATCAGCAGAGATCGCCGAACAATTATGGCCCCGGTACTCAGACTAATCCAGTAATTATAAACAATCCGGTTACCACTAAAAACTTAATCTTGCAGGATAAAAATTCATAAATCTCTATAATACGCGATAAATAAACAAAAAATTAAACACCTCATTATACAAAGCAGATTACAAAATTATAAACCATCCGGTTACCACTAAAAAATTAATCTTGAAGGATAAAAATTCATAAATCTCTATAATACGTGATAAATAAACAAAAAATTAAATACCTCATTATACAAAGTGTTGATTGTTGGCTGTTGAAGTTAATAATAAATTTCTGGTTAGTGATATCATTCCGCGGACGTGTTAAAGCCACCAACTGAATTAGGTCAAAAACAATGGAAAGTAAAAGAGAGTAGATAAAAGAGGTCACACTCATCTTCCATTCCCTACTATTTTAGTTGTTCCACTACGTTTAAAAAAAAAAAAGTAGTTAGATTCCATCAAATGATTCTAGGTCCGTTTGGTTTATGGATTTAAACTATGGTACGTGACTTTTAAAATTTAAAGTTTCTGTGAGAAAAAAATACTGTAATAGAATCAAAAACTATAGTTTGAACCAGAAAGAATCATCAAAACAAATGGAGCCTTAATTCCGGTAGAATTGCAAACACAAAAATCCTATTTACAAGGGCCGAAAAAGACTTATTATAGATGTCCATTATCATTCCTAGCACGCTCACCATCATTTTGCCTTCCCCACAAAAACTTTATACACAAGCAACCATCAATTTCTCCTTTAAAACCCCAACAAAAATCTCAAATTCTGCTGCAAAACCTAATCAACTAAAAGTCACTGATTTCATTTTCCCTATGGCACCTATCACCACCCTCTTCTCTCTTATATCTTCTCTCTACTTTCTCTCTCAACTCTCTGCTTCACCCCCTTTCCATAGCTTCTCTTATGAGACTTCGCTCTCTTTTGCTCCAACTTTGGGCTTTGGTTTCGGCTTCTATGAAATACCAATGGCCCTTCTATAAAATATTTATTTAGGCAAGAATACTATGGATCGATCTAGTTTTCTTATACCTCGCTATAAAGATTTGTTTGGCTTCACATATACTGAATAATCTACTCTCTATGTAAGTTTCCCGCCGAAAAAGTAGCCATCCTTGGTTTTTTTTTTTTTTTTTATTGTTTGCCAAGGTTTGAGCGATTATATTTTGTATTGCCATTTTCCTTCCTTCATATATGATGCTTTCTGTTGTAAACAATCATCAATTATCAGTTTCTTTTTATGGAAATATGTTACGGTTCTAAATCTTGTAGTTATTTTTATTTTATTGTAAGATATTTTTTATTTTTTTATTTGTTTATTTTCAAATGCCTCCTTGTGTTGTTAAAATTATGTAGATATGATATGGCTAGTTTCTATTTTCTTTTTGTTAATAGATATGTGTAGTTAATTAGTGGGTGATTGTGTCTCTTTCTTTGAGTAATTAGTTATGATCTGTTTTTTTTTCCTCCCCTATTGAAGAACTTATAATGAAATTATTACGACATTTTGGCGACTTTAGAAGTTTATGTAATTTATATGTTCCCTAAAATCCTACTAGAGTACCATTCGTTGATATTTATATTTGGTACCCACATCTCCAAATACACCAGAATGTGATTAATCTTCTACAGTACTATTATTATAGGTTTTTAAATAGAAACAAGATTTCAAACTAATCCTTCAAAACAGGTATTATGTTTTGAGAGAAAAGCTGAGAAACTAAAGAAATGTTTCTGAAGAGTAAATCATCAAAACAATCGAGACACCATAAAGGAACTGGTTAGATATTTTTGAGGAACTGGTTTACATATTTTTGAGGTTTGAGGGCATACTACTCATTTACACTTACCAAACCAGCCAGTTGTTACATTTTTTTTTTTTTTGTTAGTTCATTTGCTAGAATTGTTAAGGACTTGAAGTTGGTCTCCTCGACGCGATGATCTTCCTAAGTTGAAGCTGGTCAGATATTTTGAATGTCACAAAAAAGAAAAAAATAGAAAAAAAAGAAAGACAAAATGTTAAAAAACTAAAATTGAGAAACAAACATCTTTGAATACTATTTCTTGTTCCATGAGTTTTACATGGCAATTAAACTAAGACCCAAAGAGATCTTTACTTTTATAAAACAGTGACGGTAAGACGTAACAAATAACCTCGAACTGTAAAGGTAATTAATCAAAGTATCCTAATAACAAGGGATCTTGACTTAAGACGGGATTTACGCAGCTGCGTTGCAGTACTTCTTAGAGACGAATCTGACAGATAGCCATCGTCATCCACTCCATCAGAATCATCAGAGACAATTATATGATCTTCTTGAAAATCTTCGTCAACATCCATGGTGTCAGATTCATTATCAAAGTGATCATCATCGAAATCGGCCTCGTCCACAAGAATATCATCAGCTTCCGTTAATAGTAAACCTGAAAGTTTTGAATCGACTCGGAGACATTGCCCGCATTCTTGGCTTGCGTCTCAAGGGAGGAGAAATGATAATAAAATTATTACTTCCAGTACTTTCTTCTTCCTCTGAGATATCATCTTGTACAATAATATTAGAATTATCATAATCATCTTCATCATCATCATCGGGGTCAGGGACAATCTCTTCCATACCTATTTCGTCCTCATCAATATCAGTAAACTGTTCATTTGAAGAAGAAGGCTGATCAAGTTGAATATAAACCTCTGCATAATCATTAGCAACTTCTGTCTCAGTTATAATTTCACTATCATCTACACGCTGACCAAATCATCATCATCGTCAACGTGATTATTATCCATATGCTCATCACGAAAACTGGTTATCAGGAAAATCATCGTCGTCGTCATCATCGAAGTGCTATTCGTAATCAGAGTCGTATTTCGCAAGATCATCATCAGAAAACTTGAATGGTTGAAACTGCAATGGCAATATCACACGCATTCTTGGCTTGCATGAGATGAAGGGAAGGCGGGTTCCAGTACTAGTACTTTTGAAAGACGATAAAGCCGTGTTATTGCCTGAATTAATTAAAGCCAAATTTAGTATTTCCAACAGAAATCTAATCAATCAATGTGTTCTAAATAAACATTCTTTGCCTTTTTTCTGCGTGTATTTTAACAAGAAATTAAGTTTTATTAATAATTGGGTTACAAATAAGTTCGATTCTAATTGATAATCAGACTTGCGATTCAGCAAGGGGGAAAAAAAAAAGGGATAACAGCATATTTGGCCGATTCAATGGCATTCTTAAACTAAATGTCCACACTTTTCTTATATTAGTGAAATGGCCGGCCTAATTAATTATGAAGGCAAAGTGACAAAAAAACCCGACCCATCCCACTGCAAGAAATTAACATCATCGACATCGGCCAAATGAACCAGGTTCGTAGACCAAAAGCTTGGAGGAGATCGGCTGGAGGCGAAATCTCGGCGAAGCTTCGCGACAGCTCGCGAGCAAACTGCCGTTCCCGTCAATAGTTGCTCCGTCGGAGGCAAGATCCCATCGAAGCTCCACACGTCGCCTCAGAACTCCTCCTTCCCCGAGTAACACCGCTGAGATCTATATCTCCCCATCAGAGGCAAGTTAAGTGGCTTATTGATTGAGATAAGAGGATCAAAGAGGAGATGATGGGCCTCAAAAATGAAAAAACTAGCGGAATCAGTCACTGATTGACCGACCTTGCACGCCGTGATGGGAGGCCGGAGATGTAGGCTCTTTTCATATCACCATTCGAGTTTTTAATTCTAAATTTTTATCATTAAACATTTTTAAAAAATATCACATTTAATTTTTTTTATTACAGTTAAAAATTATCAAAAAATATCACATCTCAATTCAAATTAAAAACTCAAATAAAATCTTAATTTTTTTATTATATTAAAAATCTCTCATATAAAATCAAATCTTAACTCAAATTAAAAATTTAAATTAGTAAACTAAATGTACCGTTAATTACTTTGTACAAGAAGAAAGCAAGGCCGAACCGAAGAAGAACCAAGAAGGCCAATACTCGGCGATGACTAACTCGCAAGAAGAGCCAAGAAAGGAAACAATGCACTGGGGTGGAGGTTTAGAAGCCCAAATTATTAGTATTTATTTGTTAACAATCACAATCCGACTTGGAAAAGGAAACAATAAAATACTTTCCTGATTTGCTCCTAATATATACATATATATGTATGTATGCATGTATATTCCTGATAATTAATATATATGATACAAAACAATAACTTATTATGTATATGCCCTTTATTTATATCTCGCACGTTACAAAATTCAAAAAAGGAAAGCAAAATCTTTTGGAGAAAAAGGTCCCGTCGAGGCTTTTGTTTGGAATTTTTTAAAATAATTCTTCAAAAAAAAAAAAAAAGAAGATGAAGTACTCGATTATATAAAAATTAAATTTTTAGTCCTTGGCATAATTTACTCTCTTTATTTGGTCAATTTTTACTTTCATTTTTTTGTCCCTCTTATTTACTTTTTACTTATTGGTTAAGGTATTTTATACATTTACCTCCTTAATTTGTACACGCTCGACAACTTGCCACTTAAACATCTAATTTGATAATTTACTCCCAACTTTAAAAACAATTACAATATGCCCAATTCTATCAATTTTGCTATGTTTTGTTGTCTGATTAAAGGGTTTAAAAGTCAAAGAATTAAAAGATGTGTGTTACAATTTGAATTGGAATATTAAAATTTTGTTGTTAAATGTCTTTTTTGTAATACAATCATCAATAAAATGGGGCACATAACAATTGTTTTACAAGTTAGGGGTTAATTAAAATTTTAAAATTTAAGAGGTAAGTTGCCAAACTCCTACAAATTCAAGGAGTAAATGGAAGCAGATTACACAATCCATGAGGAAGATCGATCACAAGGGTCTTTAAGGTTGACCCAAAGTTGACCTTCTCCTGAAGGCCTTTGTGTTCGATCTGCTTCATGGGTTGTGTGATTGTAATTTTGTGTGTTTACCAAAATAATTAGAAGCTACTTTGGCGAGTCTCACACTGGCGGAGAGTGAGGATCTCCAGTAACTCCTGATTTTTACTTTGTAATTAGAAGCAAAGTATTGTATTATTTTCTATTATGCTGTTACTTTTTAATTAATCCGTTACATTTAATTACATTTTAATTTTTAACTAAATGTAATTTTAGAAATTCTAATGGATATGAATGCACATGCTCTTCTTCCCCATGTATTGTACTAAACCATTAATTTAATCACGTCACCCTAAAAAAATTTGTCAATGCAATGAGCAAAGAGGGAATAAAAAAAATAGGGTCAATGAAGTGACGGATTCAATCCTTCATGCTTTTTTTTTTTTTTAATATAAACATATACACACATAACAACGTAGAGCACTCTTTCTCCCAATGAGAAGTGTACAACATTATAGTAAAAATTAATCGACGAAGAAAGAAAAATATATAAGCGTTTCATGTCGGCAAAGATCGAAGCCTTTGCCTATATATTTAAATTGTGGTTTATTATTATTTTTTTAATGTTCATACGTTGTAGCTTATTTATCTTGTAAATTATTGATCATGTCAAATTATCTATTCCATTTTCTTTGACACGTACTAATTTTGAGCCAATTCTGTGTGACCAAACTTTCTCCAAACTTCTAGTAAAAAAAAGAAAAATAATAATAATAATAATAACTCTATACTTCGCCTCTCAAATTTCTCCACTAGTTATCCCGGCAAAATTTAAAACTATGACTTCGTTCATTTTACTGATTCGAGTTTTCAGTTTTAAGTTTCTACAGTTAAAAGCACTCAAAAAATGTCAAATTTATTTTTTTTTGCTATAGTTAAAAACTCTAAAAAATATAACATATCAACTTAAATTAAAAACTCGAATCCCTCGAATCCCCAAATGAACGAGGACTATATTATTCCTAGACTAAATTTAGTTATAGATGAGTTTTAAAAACTCAAGGACCAGTGCGCATGTTCTATATTAGCATATAAAATTCCGTAGTAAAATAAAGTGGGAATGCAAAAGGCCTATAGAATTGAAAGCGTATAAGAAAAGGGTCTCTCATTTCTTGGTAAACGTTTATTTATATAAAAGCCTTTTAAGGAACTTCTTTGTGGTCATTGCTTGAAGAGGGCTAACAAATTCACAAACTCAGCCAAAAAAAAAAGAAAAGTGCAAGCATAGAGAACGAAGAAGATGCATTTGTGGCCTACGAAGAAGTTAAGAGATTCATGGAAGGTTTCTTCTGTCACAAGATACGAAAGGACGATCGGCGAGATGAGAGCGCGGAAGAGAGCCGAAGCAGCCGTTCAGCAGAAGCTCTTGGAAAAATTACCAGCAGAAGGAATCATCTCGCTCAATTTGCATGAAAGTTGGCTCTATGCTCTCTTGAGAGATTTTGTATTTGCTGCCACTTGTTGTTGCTGCTATGGAGGTAATATTTATGTGAAAATATTATTCGCTTTTCAACATTATAACTAAATATAGAAGACGAGTTTTATACGTAGGTCTCATATTATTAGACCCACTTTCTAATCATCTCGAGTGAGAAAATTTCTTGCCATCTTGAGGGATCTTTCTCTCTTAACAACTGTAAAGGAGAGAGATCCCTCGTCCTTAATCACCGCATCAGATTCATAGTTCGTTTGATTAGTAGATTCGTACCATGATTTGAATCATAATTTGTAGTTCATTACAGTGTTTTCTCTAACAAAAAGCACACATAAATCGAGAATGATTCTGACTCATGATTCTAAATCTATGAATTAAACGTCCAATCAATCTTTTCCCTCGCCTCATTTGTTGTGACCCACTTTGGGTTGCAACACCCCAATTGTTTCAATACATCACGATTAGAATGGCAACGGGGACGATTATGAATCCCCAGTTCCCTCCCACTTTCTAGTTTGCCTTCGTACTACCCGTGTGCCCGCCTAACATGAAATGGGTAGGGCTGTTCATAAACCCGAACAACCCGCAAACCCAACCCACCTCGCCCCAACCCAAGTCGAAAAAAGCAACCCGCATAATTATTTTTAAATTTGCGGCTCATTATACCTCTGGCCCGAAGTGTTTGGGACGGATTGCGGGTTGGGCCCATAACCACCCGTAATCCCCAACCCAACCCGCACAACATACCTCCAAGCTTTCGGCCTAAGCCGAACTGCCTAAGTTCTACCCTAGGCTCGCTAACATTAGAGTTCACAATCTCATTCTCGGTCTCCCCTCCCGTGAACCCCCTCTTCTTGCCTCTTCCTTTTCA